GAAAACTAGGAGTAGTAGCGTTTTGAAAGTATTTCACGGAAATATTTTTAGTAACCATGACAACACCATTCACCCAAATAAAAAAAAACAGAAATACATATTATGTATCGTAGTGTATTCTAACTGTGTGCCAAATTAGATTGAAATCAGACCAAAATTGTAGGAGGAGTAACGTTTTAAAGGAATTTCAAAGAAATTTCTATTTTAAGTAACCATGGCAACACTGTTCATCGAATTCAAAAACCAATGCAATAAATTATGTATCTTAGTATAGTCTTCTTGTATGCCTAATTATATTAGAAGCAGACTAAAACTGTAGCAGGAGTAGTGATTTAAAGGAATTTCACAGAAATTTCTATTTTTAGTAACCATGGCAACACTGTTCATCGAATTCAAAAACCGATGCAATAAATTATGTATCTTAGTGTAGTCTACTTGTGTGCCAAATTATATTGAAATCGGACCAAAACTGTAGGAGGAGTAGCGTTTTAAAGGAATTTCACAGAAATTTATATTTTTAGTAACCATGGCAACACCGTCCATCGAAATCAAAAACCAATGCACTAAATTGTGTATCGTAGTGTAGTCTACTTGTGTGCCAAGTTATATTGAAATCGGACCAAAACTGTAGGAGGAGTAGCGTTTTAAAGAAATTTCACAGAAATTTCTATTTTTAGTAACCATGGCAACACCGTCCATCGAAATCAAAAACCGATGCACTAATTTATGTATCTTAGTGTAGTCTACTTGTGTGCCAAGTTATATTGAAATCGGACCAAAACTGTAGGAGGAGTAGCATTTTAAAGGAATTTCACAGAAATTTCTATTTTTAGTAACCATGGCAACACCGTCCATCGAAATCAAAAACCGATGCACTAAATTGTGTATCGTAGTGTAGTCTACTTGTGTGCCAAGTTATATTGAAATCGGACCAAAACTGTAGAAGTAGCGTTTTAAAGAAATTTCACAGAAATTTCTATTTTTAGTAACCATGGCAACACCGTCCATCGAAATCAAAAACCGATGCACTAATTTATGTATCTTAGTGTAGTCTACTTGTGTGCCAAGTTATATTGAAATCGGACCAAAACTGTAGGAGGAGTGGCGTTTTAAAGGAATTTCACAGAAATTTCTATTTTTAGTAACCATGGCAACACCGTCCATCGAAATCAAAAACCGATGCACTAAATTGTGTATCGTAGTGTAGTCTACTTGTGTGCCAAGTTATATTGAAATCGGACCAAAACTGTAGGAGTAGCGTTTTAAAGAAATTTCACAGAAATTTCTATTTTTAGTAACTATGGCAACACCGTCCATCGAAATCAAAAACCGATGCACTAAATTGTGTATCTTAGTGTAGTCTACTTGTGTGCCAAATTATATTGAAATCGGACCAAAACTGTAGGAGGAGTAGCGTTTTAAAGGAATTTCACAGAAATTTCTATTTTTAGTAACCATGGCAACACCGTCCATCGAAATCAAAAACCGATGCACTAAATTATGTATCTTAGTGTAGTCTACTTGTGTGCCAAGTTATATTGAAATCGGACCAAAACTGTAGGAGGAGTAGCGTTTTAAAGGAATTTCACAGAAATTTCTATTTCTAGTAACCATGGCAACACCGTCCATCGAAATCAAAAACCAATGCACTAATTTATGTATCTTAGTGTAGTCTACTTGGCACACAAGTTATATTGAAATCGGACCAAAACTGTAGGAGGAGTAGCGTTTTAAAGGAATTTCACAGAATTTTCTATTTTTAGTAACCATGGCAACACCGTCCATCGAAATCAAAAACCGATGCACTAATTTATGTATCTTAGTGTAGTCTACTTGTGTGCCAAGTTATATTGAAATCGGACCAAAACTGTAGGAGGAGAAGCGTTTTAAAGGAATTTCACAGAAATTTCTATTTTTAGTAACCATGGCAACACCGTCCATCGAAATCAAAAACCGATGCACTAATTTATGTATCTTAGTGTAGTCTACTTGTGTGCCAAGTTATATTGAAATCGGACCAAAACTGTAGGAGGAGTAGCGTTTTAAAGGAATTTCACAGAAATTTCTATTTTTAGTAACCATGGCAACACCGTCCATCGAAATCAAAAACCGATGCACTAAATTATGTATCTTAGTGTAGTCTACTTGTGTGCCAAGTTATATTGAAATCGGACCAAAACTGTAGGAGGAGTAGCGTTTTGAAAAATTGTTTACAGACAGACGGACAGACAGACAGACAGACAGACAGACAGACGGACGGACGACGGACACCTTACTATCGCATAAGCTCTTCTGGTCTCTGACCAGTAGAGCTAAAAAACTACATAAATGATATATGTTGAAATCAGCATATGCAAAATTTTAAACATTTGTGCGGGAGGGGGATTACTTAATATATTAATTTTTACTTGAAAGTATTTTATAAAGCATAATGTTATAGCAATCACTAGTGACTACGAATTTTTTTTTATCAATATTTTCGTAGTTCGTATCATCAGCTAGTGCATTGTTATCCATTATTTTCTTAACATATAGTGTTCATGATTTATTTATGATCTTACATCTAAACATTGACTTATGTAATTAACATGCAGTGTGTGTTACATGGAATTTGCTACCCTTTAAATAATTTTTTGTGCTAGGTGAACATCGAACATCTATCATGGTAAATATTAATTACTGTTCATAAATTATTTATTGGACCATATCTGGAATTACGTTTACTCAAAATTTCAAATTTAGGATTTCTAGTACGTTTTTATCATGAAGACCATGAATAAGTATTGTTCTAATCCACTTGTTTGCTGTATAGTGATTGTGTATTGAGGTAGAATTTATTTGTTTAAAAGAAGAATTCAAAAGATTCTATTAACGCACAATTTTGAAATCTGTTTGGAGCCTGACCAAAACTTATAATTTCATATATGATGGCATGATGTCGCTGCCAATATAGTGACAAAATGAAGCTTTTCAGGAGATAAAGATTTTAAATCATTTTCTGAACTAAAGAAAACATTGATACTTTATATACTTTATGCCTGTGCCCCTCAATAATAATGTCTTATGTTCCTTTTTACTGAAATTTCTTCCTACGTGCCTCGTATGAACTTGCTACGTATTCTTAAAAGGTTGATTTTTAAATTCTTCACCCTTATTTGCTTTGTGAAAAAAATAAATTACTGTTTCCATTCCAGTTCTACATTAATGGATTTGGAAATAGTCCATATTTTATCAAGCTATTTTCACAAATGTTTTGATAAAAGTGAGGCCAGTGTCAAAATAAATAATTCTAGAATGAAATTATTAATTCTTTGTTTACATATTCTAAATCATCGCATGCATTTCTAAATAGGATAACAGACATGGCAAAAAAAAAATCTTAAAACAAGCATAGAAGGTTATTATCCAGTTGATTCAGTATTTTTGAATACGAGTATTGAAAAATCAAAACACGAGAAGGAAAAAAATCACAAATCGTAATGTATATATTTTTATAGATAAATTTATATACAATTAACATTTTTTCTTCAAAATATTTTATAACCTTACCAGTTCATATCGTTGGCATATGCCTTTAGAGAAATTTAACGACATTCCTGGTCCACTTCCGGCAGTCAGTCGACATTCCGGACTTTGCGCACAAATTTCTATTGCATTGCATTCTGAATCCTGCAAACATTTTGCTGCACAGACACTTTTTGACTTTGTCGATGTTTGATATTTAACGTGAGCAGAATTGTCCTTTGAAACGTCACCAGCGAAATAGAAATGACCATGTTCCATATATCCGCATTTGACAGAAACTAACTGAATGACAATAATTAAAACTGAAAATGAAGAAATCATGTTCTGCTCCCACAATTTATCCCAAAAATTGAAAAAAATATTTCGAGGCGTTATTTCATTTAAAAATGCACTTTAACGCCGATTTTACATCCAATATTTACTTTCATTGGAAGTGCTGAGTAAATCAGTAAATATATATATATATATATAAAAATGACGAACTTGGTAGATTTTAGATATTGTTTTTAAAGGATATTGCCCATTGATTTTAAAGAAAGTTATTCAGAATCAATTCATTCCCAGCGTGTGATGTAAGAGAAATGATCCAAATGCGATTGGCTTTATAGATTTCTATACACAAAGCATGCAAATGACATTTCAAGAACGTCATCTGGAAATACATTTACACCAAAAAATGTTCTGACATTGCAAATAGCTTTCTTTTATCTTTCCTTGAAAATTTGCATTCTAATTACATTACTTAAATTCTGAACAATTGGGTTCTAATTTTTTTCTAACATAAGTGATTATTGAATAGTGTTGCAATGTATATCGAAACATTGTAAATGGAAAAAAAAAAACGTTTTTCTTAATTCAAGTTCATTCATTTATCCATATTGTCATAATCTTGTAAAATTATCATTGGGAAAGGTACATTGTACATGTATACAATACGCTCATGTCGTGTACGTTGCTTATGACCTTAATGGATATGAATATAACATACAAATCTATATCAAAAAAATTATTTTATGGTAAATTATTTGAAACTCAATAAAAGGAAATAAAAATGAGGGTAATTTTTCTTTAATATTTTCCATTTTCCAAAACTATCATTATCTAAAGTTTAAAATTAACATGATATCTGCTATATCTTATTGATAAATAGTGTTGAAATAATAATTTTAAAAAGATTATTTCGTAATTATACCTTTCCGTAAAAATTCATTATCAGTAATTCCTATATCTCTCTCTCGTCATCTATCTTTTAGTTTATTTCTCTACATCTTTGTCCATATATGGAACTGTGTCCTTTCCCTATAAACAAGTTTTAAAACACTCCCTTCAAGAAATTGCATTCAAGTTACTATTATTTTTACTTAATTTACTGATGGTCATTTCTAATCAACTTCCCCTGGAAAATGAATTTAACACTAATCTTTAAACATACATGTATTTCAAAACAAAAGTTTTGAGACTTATGAGTGCTAGCATAACAAATGTCGCACAAAACGGGCATGGCAAAAGAGATGTGACTCATAAAGTTTATACATATTTTACACGTGTACTCACTACCGCAAATTTTGCATTCCTTGAATTTTTACTGTGAACAGACACGACTAAGAAAAACTTTACCATACACAGACCATTTTGACAGGAACATTGCTTTAAACAGTACACTGTAGCTGATCTGTTACGAAAGCGTCAATATGATAATATATAAAATAGTATAAAGTAGTAGAAGTTCAAATCGTTAACATCTTGCGATCTCAAAAATAGTATTTCTAAAATGTCTGCCAGGTCAAGGATTCCTAACCCTCATTTCGACATAACGAAGGTTAGTGATGGTATCCCAATTTACGCCGAGCCGATAGTCAGATTCACCAAATCGTCCATTCAGGTTTGACTTTTGACAAGAGTTATGCCACCAACCGCCTTTGCTTACTTCTGCGCAGTTTCCGGTTCCGTTATTATCGTTGTCCCTATCTTTTGTTGTGAATTTCATCCCGTTCGCGCATTCTAGACAGACTGGTGTAAATGGGTCCCCTGACAAAGATTGAAAATATATTTTGTTACACTTTTGCACAAAAATTTTCTTTTGATTTTCTCTCATGCACAAAAGAAAGTGCTGACATATCAAGGGACGTGTCAAAAAACAACAGAAAATCAATAGGCAAATTCAGAAAACATTAATTTAAAACTGTTTGATAAAAGTTTATATCAGACGAAGTATTACAATATCAAATTTACATCTTAAAAAAAACTCCATATGCATTTTGTAAGTTAAATATTATATTATTTTGCCAAATAGGAAAAAAAAAATCACTAGTAACTGTATATGCCATAGACTAAGAATATTTTGAAAACGTGTTCCTGCTTATTATAGAAAAGAGTCGTTGTTAATTTCAAAGTTTGAATAAACAATACAATTTTGAAAATTGTTTTTTGATTTCCTACCAGAAAAATTGTTTAAGCAATATTGAAATAATTTCTTGTAAAAAAAAATGTTTAATTGCTATCTTACCTATCCCAAAACTGCCTTGAAAATTAGAAACTTGGAGCATGTAGTTGTTTGACTCTGAATCAATAGAGAATGAGTACTCAACGTTCAGTGAATAACCATTTGTCTTGATCATCTTAATCTGCAGAAGAGTGTTTCCGTTGTTTGTTAGATGATGTATGACGTCATTTCCTGAAGAACAATTATATGCTGTGTAAGCACATCAACTGGAACTTACTCATACATAGACGTCATTTTGCATATTATCTACTCTGAAGATGGTTTAAGTTTTCAAAATTTTTACTGATATTTCTTTAAATTGAATATAATAAAATATGGGAAGAAATTGAACATTTAAGCTTTAAAATGTAATTTAGGGTATTGATTGAACATCAAACACATTTCTGTTATATGGAAGCAAAATCTTTGTTTTCGGGATTATATAACAACAATGAAGAAAGAGAAGATATAATAAAACTTTACCTATCCAGAAATCTGACGTCACTGATCCGAATCCATGTTTGTATTCATTCCAGTCCTTATCAAAATCAACGGATCCGCCTATTTGATGTCTCTGGATTATCTGCATCACAGTTTTTACGAAATAAGGTATTAATACGTATACAGAATGATAAATCTAAGTTAAGATTAAATAATTGCAGACTCATATATACATTTTTGGGGAAGAATAGAATGTGATACTTAGATACGTTGATTTACTGTGTACATGCAAGTCAACAGCAAGATTTGTCCGTTTTCAAAAGTACTTGTATACTTAATCCTCTGTGATTTATAGTTTTTAAACATCAATTCAGAAATTTCAACAGAGTAGACCAAAATATCTTTAATAAACAAGTCTTATCATTAGTCCAAATGATGACAAAGACCATTAAATTCTAAAATCGAGAGCAAGGTCAAAAGAGTTGAAAAGGCAAAAAGATCTATTGGAGCCAAAGTATTCCACGAGAGAGCTTTTTTCCAACAAGTAATTTTTTTTTTACTCAAAGGGTAATGATCCCTGATATTACAGTACTTTTTATTACTGCCTGCATAACCATCGCCTTGTCGCCTAGCTTAATTGTCAGCAGATCTTACTTTCGGACCCTAATATTGCACAGCCCTTCGATCAAATATACCCATGACTGTTATATTAATGAGCTCAGTCCCTAAACACTCACATTCTGCTCATAAACTCTTTTAATTTTAATTTTCTTTTTAATTTTTATTGTTTATTAATTCCTAGAAACATTAATAGTAAAACTGCATCTCCATACAGAAAGCTTTTATCACTAAGTATCAAAGGTCAATTCTGATCAATTCCATTTTAAAACAATTTGCCATAGAACATAGTACGAACATATTAATATTTCAGCCTGTTCTGTAAAGATAAATATTGTTCATAGAATAATAATCCTCTTTCCATTTATGAAGTCATTGTTTTTGGTACACAATTGATGCCCATTTTTGTTTTTATAAACTTGTATTTTATCTAATTGACACTGTTAATTTTACTTTTGAAAATGGATTAAAATAAATATACATTGTACATTAAAATGTTAAGGTTCAAGTAAAATAACGGTTCTTTATCCTATCGGTTTAAATATGATCATTTACATTCTTCGAGTTACTTTATCAAAGTATCTTTACTTTGAACATCTTTTGGATTTTATTTTAAGCTGCAATATTTCCAGAATATTACAAAAACTGTACATTGTACTATTATCACACGTAATATCATTTTACAATAAATACATTGCCCTACCTGTGAAAAACTAAATGTTGATGCAAATATAACGATATGACATTAATTTAGAATGTATATTTTGATTTACTAAATGGATTAGTCTTAATACTATAATTTGAAGTATGTTATTCAATTAACAATCATTCATGGTAAACTTTGTGTTCTATCCTTAGCCTTAATTACAAACACTCAATGTAGCCGATTATGATATTAAATTATTTGTGATTTTTTTTTCTACGCAATGTATTTTATTCAGTATACTTGTTAAAACAGGAGACATATTGTCAGATTGGTGACGAAATGGCGTAAAAAAAATTACGTAAAATTGCTTTCAGAAATTGACTCATGATTACAGAGAATTACAGAATTAATGGTGAGGGTCCAAAAAAAAAACTTTTTGTAGGATAAATTCTTATAATTTATGTTCGATCTAACGATAGACATCCAAAATTTATTTTAAAAATGTAGTATTGTCAATAATGCATCAATCATTGCAAAGACTCGTCGTCGTTCCTACTCCATTGGCAAATTTTAAAACGTTCACCGTTCTTGGTATTCAATTAATGACCTTGGATTTCGTGGACCATTTTTGATCCATTCTAAAACTCTGTACTCGGTTAGGTGAAGACTGAACTTTATGACCCAATTAAAACAACCACAATTTACAAAACTTCAAGTACATAATATTCATTCATGATTTGAATAAAAATTTGTTGCAAACCTTTTAGTGCAAGTTTACAATTTCGGAAGGTAAAAAAAAGATAATTGACTAACCTAGTATTTAAAAAGCTGTCCATTGTCCTCTGCAGAGCATTTAAAGGTATTTGATTATTATCTGAATTGCTTTTACCATAAAACATATATTTTTCAAAAGAATGGGGAATAAAACAGGTTAGAGTAACATAAAATCATTTTTTTATTCAAAATAGGTCATTTTTTTTAAATCAGAAAAGCTTCTGACTATTCAAATACCTCATACTTCCTTGTAAATCACTTTCACATAATAAAAACCCATTATCAGATTATTTACAGAGATGATCAATAACTAGTAATGCTATAATTTTAACTGATCTTAAAAGGAATTTGTTTTTTTATATGTGGTCACATAAACTATTTTTAAACACAGTGACGTTGTATAGGATTCTATTCATTGCACTAATACTTATCAAACAATATGAATAATATACTAAGGATACGGGTGCACATAGCTATCGCGCTGGAAAGTAATAATTTTTCTTGTACCTTACTTAGAGTAAAATATCCTACTTTAGATTTCTAAGATAACAAAATTTCACTACATTGTTTTCTTTCTTTAAACTAGATAATGTTAGAAAATAAAATAAAATATAAAACTCCTTTTCATGGGGGAGGGAAATGTTTGGTTGCCTTTAATTGTGTAAATATTGTTAATTATTTAAATATTTTTTCACTATTAATTAAGATTTGAACGATGGTCTGTTACACGACAGAAAAAGATTTTTATTTGTTTGTGTTGTGTTCGGTTTTTTTTTTTTCCTTTTAGTATTAAGAATTCATTTTATTTAACAATATTTATAACTCACGATCATCTTGCCCTTACCGTCCATTTGTATGTCGTCAATAACCCTAACTCTAAATCGCAGAGAAGAGTTTTTCCGCTAGACAGAGTATATGTAGTTTCTCCACCCAGAAGCATGGACAATAGCCCCAACAAACAGTGACAGTCAACGCAGTTATTTGTAGGGATGGCATTAGTATTATCTAGAAAAAATAATTGGACTTTGATTATATTTGTAAGAGACTTAATATCTTAGATATTATGACAGAATCTGAAAGACAGCATACAAAAGGCATATTATATTGTTGTAATGACCTAACATTACATGTATAATCATATTTCATGATTTGTTCAGAAAATTAAGGAAAATACAAAGTATTGCCTTAAAAAGAATGGTTTCTGCAATAATCAAAAACTAAAAGTAATGACATTACTGATATTGTCTTCAAGAGTTCGAAATAAATGTTTATTCTACTTTGCAAATATATAGCTAATGTATTGAAAGAGGAAGAATAATAGTTTGTATAATATGTAGAGGAAATTTTTGTAAACAGAAAAAGAAATCATGCAGAGAAAGTAAAATACAATTCTCTTCATATAAAATACAAATAAAATAAAATAAAATAAAATAACATAAAATACAATTCAACTACAGCTGACGTTCAGTAAAGATACGTGTATGTTTAGAAAAACTCCAAAATGAAAATTTTGTAGTAGACTTATTACCAAAGTAAAACTTATTGATGTATAATTAATTTTATCGACAATTACATGTATTGTGCTACTAAAAAGCTTGTTTTCTTACTTTGAACACATTTTTCCTGGACTCTATCCCAATGCCCGGTTTCACAGTTGTTTACCTATGGGAAGGAAGATGGCAAACTACATGTTAATTTAATGAAATAAATATTTTATTATGCAAAATCAAATCACATAAATGGATTGGATATCAGGCATAGCCTATATAAGTCCTCTCCAATGTTCATTGTAATTTTCATCAGCTACAACTATCTCACTTCCTAATATTTGACTGTACATTTGCCTTAACAGATCTACAAATTTGAAATTTAAAAAAATATCAATCCATTTGAAATAATTTCTTTACTAACAAAAAAGTATAAATTTAATTAACTTATATAGAACTATAATGTTCATACATGCATTTAGAAACAATGTTATCCAAAAATATAAAATCATTTCGTTACTTAGTCTAACAAACTCCAATCTCCTACTTTTACCGCGATAAATATATTAGACCAATTAATTAACAAAATCTCACCATGTAAAATAACTGACATCTTGGATGAGAAGAATTGTGAGCTTGTATTGGAGTCTCCCCGGTTGTAAGTCGACATTCTGGGGGATCATCTGTACACATCTCAAATGCCTGACATCTATCATTTTCCCGACATGAGGCAGCACAACGACTTTTAGAAATTGTAGAATACTGACCTATCACATGAGAGCCTTCATTTTTGAAAACTTCTCCATAAAATTTGAAATGAGTTTGCTGAATCTCCCCGTTTACACAAAGCAGTGTTAAAAATAAAAACAAAATGCTGTCGAATCATGGCATTAAAGGATCCTGTTATTGAAGATTTTTGGTTTGAGTGGAGGTCTGCATTTATAGTGCGACAATTTTCATCAATATTTACGTAGTTTCTCTGAAAAAAAGAGAGGTGTGAAGACAAAAGATATTTAAATCAGCGAAGAAAAGATGTATTTTCTGCATAAAAATTTCTCCATTTTTGGAATAAATATAACAATATAAATTAATTCCAAACTCTAGGACATGATGATTACATAATAACATGAAGTGCATGCAAATGTCAGATTAAATGTTAAATGTATTCAGATATAACAATATGGCTCCGTTTTCTATAAAGCGCGTTACAAAGCACACAGTGGGTATTTCCGAAAAATTCAAATCATCTAGTAAAACCTTTAATTATTTTCGTTTTAAATTCATTTATTGTCAGAAATATCCAATTTTTCCTGAGAACAAAGCGGGCACGAGTCTTTTATTACCATCACAAAAAAGAAAACTGATAAAAACTCTTAATGTATCAAGATCTCCCAGTCTGCATATGATTTATTTAATCAATATGCCTGAAGTAGATCCTAAATGGTTTTTATTATCGCTTTTGTGAATGATACTATAAAGTCTTGTTTGTAAATGCTAATAGAAACAAATGTTGAATCCTATATCGGAACCAATTGTCACAATAATGAATATGCACTATCGTTATTTTTATGCACTCATTTAGTCTATATATTAAAATATTAGTTTGGTGGAATTCATAAAGTAACACATAAATGATTGTACTAAAAGCGAGTCCCACAGGAATAAATCAAGAAACAGTTTATTCATACTATGTATGTTTATTGTTTAACGTTCCTCTCGAGAATTTCTCACTCATATGGAGACGCCACCACTTGCCCGGTGGAGAGCTACAAATTTTGACCTATACTCGGAACTCAGGGCCATTAAGCAGTGAGGGATCTTTTTCGTGCCAGCACCTACTGCGACACGGGACCTCGGTTTATACGGTCTCATCAGAAGGACCGTTCTCCACGTCCCACAGTGGGATTCGAACCCGCGACGTAAGGATCGACTCCTTACTCCGCGACTCTAGAGCAGAAGCTCTAACCACTGCGCCACGCGGCCGACGTTTATTCCTAGTCTCATAAACTCTAGGAACTCATAAAACTTTCTCTGTTTTGAATACAGTATATATTTGGATATTCAGGGAAGTTTTAAATCATTTTAGATTTTTACAAAATTCAAAAAAAATCATATCCTTATTGTTCACGGACTTTATTTTGCAAATTGTTCTCATGAGTTTTTAGCAAAAAGAAAAAAAAGAGGAAAATGAATTATAAGTTGAAATGCATCATGTCAATTTGACAAGATATGATTTTTTTTTATGCGGGATAAATACACATGTATTATGAAAATTTAGTACAGCATTGTAAACATTCTTTTTAAAGCATTTAACCCCCACCCCAAACAGCACATCCTCCCGGCCCCGCACAAGGCAAAACGATATTATAAGAGTTAATTTAAATATAGCTAAAAGATTAAAATAAGTCTGTGCAGGCGAAAATATAAAACAAAATTTGAGTTTTAAATATTATCAAAATGCACTAATTTACACTGCTTCAGATCTGTGAAATATCAATATATGTACGGTCGATGGTTATATGGTTTGTTGATCAACAAAGGTTAAAGTTAAATTTCCAAATCTGATACACTCCTGGCGTCAATATCAATTGGCAGGATAAAACATGTCTGAAGAAATCAATTGATCAAATCCGGAAGATAAATTTCGCTGAAAGAAATCGGAATTTCATCATGCAGTCAATGTACTTGGCCAAGGAAATTTTACGTTAATTTTTTTTTAAGATTAATTGTGATTTTGGAGGAGAATATGTCAAATAAGTATATTAAAATGTAAGTACGCGAAGTTTAATTGTTCTAACCAAAAAAAATTTTAAAAACTGTTATTGTTGAACTGGATATTGAAATTATGTTAAAGATGAAATGTAATGCAAATGAAACCAAATATTTCATTGAAAAGCTTTATACTTCAAAAAGGAAAATATTATTGATTGTTCAACATTTACTTTCGTTTTCCCTAAGAAAGAAACTATCTTCAAAAGTCCTCTATTTCTTTTCCATAGGTTAAGTGAAATTTAACGCAAAAATGGATGCAACATACTCCCTATCAGAAACCCAGGACATATTTGTCGTGGCAATAGATTTCGGGACTTCTTACACTGGATATATATGCTTACTCACAGAAAGGACCCACTGCGTATCATGGGTATGAGGATTGGGGCAACCAACAATCAGGTACGCATAAACTAGTCATACCTGTAAATTTGCACAACAATAAGTTATTAATTGATTTCGTTCTATTGGTTTGTATTTCTCATTAGAAATTGCTTTTATCATCAGATGTTCACAGAAGCATAAACTCCTAAGGGGCTAACCGTCTGAAGAGGATTTCTGTGTGGTCAAAGTTCCATTTGATTTTATATAGAAAACCAATCTATTTCTCTATGATCATCAGATAGAATTTTGATATGTCAAAATATCACCATAAGGATCATAGAATTATTTAATTACTTCAGGGAAATAAATGATAACGTTGTTTACATTTCCATAAAGGTGCATTTTCTGGGTTGCATTATAGTTATGTTATTTTGACCTTTCAGAACCTTTATCAATCATGAGAGATGAATAAATAAGTCTAATAATGTACATAAACTGCTATTCTGTGCTGTTATTCTATTCAATCATCAAAATCTTTCTATCTGGAAAAATTTTGAAAAATTTTGATATTTCGAAACTTGTTCACAATAATTGTGAGAAAGCTTACAAATTATTTTTTTTCCTCCATGCTTAAATGATTAATAGGGAAGTAGTAGCATACATCCAAGTCCTGTCGCAAGCATGTTCAAAGACCACATGGTATGGCTAAAAATTATTACACATTGTTAACAAATGAGTACTTTAAGATAAATTGTTTGAAATTCGTTTTTGTAAAATAAATTCGACGCTCTCATAATTCAGATCTGACAATGTATCTCAGTGAAATTTTTTTAATGAAGTTCATTAGTTCATTAAATACATGTATACCCTGTATCACTTTCGACTCAATTGAACTATTATCGAATCATTTTATTTTTTGACATTTTAATATTTTTTTTTTTGTATCTATCTATCTATCTATCTATCTATCTAGATAGATAGATAGATAGATAGATAGATAGATAGATAGGTTTTATTTTTTATGATGATTGATGATGACAGTGTTTTTAAAATGATCATTATAATGAAAAATAGAAAAAAATAATGTATATAATGATAAATACTATTTCAGATGTAGGCCCTATAACATGTGCGAATTAGTTTCCGGTTTTTCTCTAACTTGAGTTCCTTATTTTTTTAATTGTTAATATTACGCAGCACAAAATGACGTCGTAATAGGTGTTCTTTTACACGTTAGGGAACTAGAAAAAACCTTACACGGGAATGATGAAACATATAGCGGTAATAAGAAAACCCTTTTTATACCACGACTTTAAGCAGCCATTTCTTATTTGAGCGAAAAAAAATTTAAAATTCTCGATCAACAAAAGAGTTTAAAGAGAGTTATAAGAAAAAGTAGATTTTTTTAAAGTTTTCTTTTTAAGAAAAACGTAAACATAATTTTCATTTTACTTACCAAGGACTGTCTCAATCTTTTTTATATCGTGGTTCCTTTCTCCAGAAAACGTGGATTCTGTGTCGCTGATTTCGTAAATATCCACTTATATACTATTCTTGTGTTGTTCCTGCATTCATAACAGATATGCATCCAAATGAGAATATAATCAATACATTGTATGATTGTGATATACGGTAATCGCATTAATCAGACTCGAAATCAAATGTACAATATTAATATTGGTATCCCAACAATTATTTCATAAAATTTGCAATTATGCCTTTATTCAATTATTTATTGATAAATTGATGGAATGCCACCTTGATATTTCAAATAAATATAAAACCTCTCAATTTACTAAAACTCCTAAATTGCAATAAGTCTGTGTTCTGGATCTTCAGAAGTAAGGAAATGGTACCGTAAAATCACATATTTTCGTGGGGTCAGATTTTCGTGGTTTGAGGAAAAAATATGAGTTCGTGGGGATTTGATTTGGTGGATAAAGAATAGTTGTGTTGTTATAGATAAGATTTTACATTTCGTGGTGGACATGAATTCGTGGGTCTCTTCATACCTCGAAAACAACGAAATTTAAACCCCCACGACACTTAGTGATTTCACAGTATACAGCATTTTAAATATTTAATCAACTTAATCCAGCTATTGTGCCTGTACTACATAAATATACATGTTAATTGTAAGCTATGTTTCCTTTACCAAATGGTACTCTCTTTTTCCTAGATATGTACGAAAAATTCCACAGTTTGGTAAAGGGATCTGATACAGCCCGCCATCTACGAAGCGATCATTAATCTCGCCCTCCCCCCTCCCCGTGTAACATTATTTTCTTAATTCTAAACGACATGAAATTATGAAAATAGAAAGAATATTACAAATACAAGGTCGTACCGACCAAAATTGGAAAGCTTCAGTGCTACAAAAACATTAAAGAAACTGCTGTTGGTCGTCCACCAATCGCCTAAATTCATTCAATGTTTAATTATTGTTTGAAAAATAAATCCAAATACAGGTATTTTTACGAAGTCGGCGTAAAATATAGCAGAAGAATTTATAATAATCAAAGATCTAAAAGTTGACACGACTGAAATTGTTCGTTATATAATTAATGTATATGTAAAGTTAAAGAACCAGCAATTAATTTTTGATATTTTTTAAAAGGTGTTGGGAAAGGAACCAACTTCTTTCTTGTTAACTCCGAGTGATGAGTTCCATGCCTTCGGGAAAGCGGCTGAAGATACGTACGCAGAAAAGTGCAGCAATGGTGAAACCGGATGGCGACTCTTTAAAAATTTCAAAATGAACCTTTGTAATACAAAAGACAAGGTTTGATTTTCAAAATTATCTGGTAATTGGAAATGGGTTTCAATTTACCTACCTTCATTTTTCTTTGAAAAATGAGATCCGTTTAGACACTTTAATTTTCATTAACTAATTAAAATTCTGGAATTAGTAGCTCGTGTGGAAGTGAGACGAATCAATGAACATCCATTTATTTTCAATCATATAATAATTCCATGATTCATAATTTAAGTAATTTAGTAAGAACAATTTTTTTATGCAGATGTTCAATCAAATG